TACCTGACGGGCCCTTCTGTCCTCTGCCCTCTCTCTGGACTCTTCCCTGGTCATCTCCACCCACGGGGGCATCTGTCCCTTTCTGAGTGAGTCCACTTGGGGCTCCAGCAGCATTATTTCAGCTCTGTGGCTACGAGGAGGACTTTTTCAGGCCAGACAGCGTTGGGTCAGAACCATGACACGACTGCTCACCAGCTGTCTAAGGGGGCACGAAAGTTAGCACCCGCGGGCCCCGTAGCCTCGTGTGTACGATGCATAATAAAGCTACTACTCAGGTGAGTGGGAAGACTGAACGTTGTGAGTCGCAAATGCAGAACAGTGCTGGCACGTGGCAAGTGCACAGGTATGTACGTATTTCCGTGGCAGCTGGTCAGCTAGGCAGCACATAGAAGAATGGTGTTTCCCAAGTTTTGTCTCAACCGCTCACATGCCCCACCCACTAAGCCTCACCAGAAAGCCCAGGGGAGCAGCCCCACTTTCTCAGGCACCTCTGAGGTCGCTTGTGTCCGCTAATCCACGGTCCAGTCTGTGTGTCTGTTCACCCGTCCAGCTGTTCCATCCATTGGCCAGAAAATCTACCTACCTTCCTTCCTTCCCACCCGCTCACTGGTTTTGCCCTCACCCATCCAATAGCATGTACTCTGATCCACCACAGGCCGGGTGCCTGAGCCGGGGAGAGAACAACAGGACACAGAAAGGAGTCGAGCACCCAGGAAGAGGGTCAGCGTGACCATGCTGAGACAGTGACAGGCATGAAGTGATGGACCCAGAGGGGCCCAGAGTGCTCTGGCCACAGGGCATATGAAGGCCAGGGGCGTGGGATAGGTGGCTGCAGGTGGACCTGAGTGACCATGTTAAAGGTTTAGGCTAGTATTCCAGGAAAGAACTCCCCCCCACCCCCAAACTAATTACCATCATGTCGGTGCCCACTCATGGCTACCCTAGAGGACGGGTAGAACTGCCCGTCAGTGTACAAGACTGGACTCGTTCACGGGAGTTGAAACCGCTATCGCTCTCCCCTGGAGCAGCTGGTGGCTTTGAACTGCTGACATGGAGGACTGCAGTCCCAGGAGTAACCACTACGCCACCAGAGCTCCTGTAGGAAAGAAGTGAAGAGGATTTGAAATTGGCGGACAGGAGCCAGGACAAAGAAGGGAGATGGGTGTGAGG